AAGATCACTTTATTTGGTGATTTCCCAAGGACTTAGTACCCAACTTGAAGAGACTCTCAATGACCAAATATGGAAGAAACTGTTAACAAGAATAATAATTAAATAATGATTATAACTTATTGTGAAATAAATCAAGTATGTTCAAATACGTAAGTTCCTGGGACCAGCAGTTAGTATAATGGCTATGTCGCTGGACTCCCATGTAGTTGACTGTGGTTTGAGTCCTGGACCCGGTGGCTTAAACTCACGCTGGGTGCATGTGTGTGCGTGCCCAAGATCCCGAGAGGAGCATGGAGGAGAAGGGATTGCGGCATGGTCATCCCCCTTGGGAGGCGATTTCTCGCTTTCTCTCTCTCTCTCTCTCTGTCTTCCTGGCGAGTGCATGCGCCCTATAGCAAAAACCTCTCCAAAGAAAGAAAAAAAAATGTGAAAGTTCCTTATGTTACTTAGTCACACAAACAAAAAAATCAAACGAGCATGTAAAAACAAAACAAAACAAAACAAAAAAACCCAATATGGGCACAGCCATGATGATACAGACACTAGAGTCTCACTGTGGTGCTGGGGTCAATGTGGCTGAGACCAGGGATTATATCCAAGGTCATTCAGGTGCATGCGATCTTGGCTGGAAGGCTAGGAAGAATCATGTCATGGAGAGATCCCATGGGAGTTGGCCTCTTTCTCTTTCTCTCTCATGAAAGAGGTGAATAACAACAACAATTATTCTCTGCTGGAAGTAGCTAGTGAGTCAACTCATTGTTTTTAAAAAATGGTATATAAAAAGAAGGAATAAAAAATATAACCTGTTTTCCCTATAAAAATTATACTGGTAGTCACCAAATAGGAGATGTAAGAAAGTTTCTTTCAAAAAAAAATGTTCTAGGGACCGGCAGATGGTGCAGTGGTTACGTCATTCACTGGACTACCACATGGTCGATCACAGTTCAAGTCCCAGACCTGGTGGCTTAAAAATCCTACTAGGTGAGTATGCCTGAATGCCCAAGATCCTAGGAGAATGGAGAAGGGTCTGCAGTGTGGCCATTCATTCGGGGGGTAATTTCTCATTTTCTCTGTTTCTGTCTCTCTCTCTCCAGTAAGCACATGTGCCCTAAGGCAAAAACCTTAAAAAAAAAAAATTCTAGTTAGGGGTCAGTAGGTGGTATGTCGGTTAAAGCTGAATTCCCATATGGCCGACTGCGGTTGAACCCCAGATCCGGTGACCAGAAAATCATGCCAGGCACACGTGTGTGCATGCCCAAAGTCCCAAAAGGAAAATGGAGTAGAAGGAACTGTGGTGTGGCCATGCCCTTGGGGAGTGCTTTCTAACTTTTTCTTTCTCTCTCTTTCTGGTGAGGGCACACACCCTACTGCAAAAATAAAAATTAAAAAACAAGTTTTTTTTTTAACTAACAATGAAAAAGAATGACAAAATGAAAATGCTACCAGTGTATAGCTCCTATATTTTCATTTAATTACTTGTTCAGTCAGAACACATAGTATTCAAAGCTTAGTTCATAATTCAAATTTATAATTGAGTTAATAGTTATAGAAGTATTACTAACTGATAGCTATAGATTGGACTGATAAGCTAAACAGTACATACATAGTTTCTCAGGCTCTATAATCATTTGTCTTTTTTAGTTAAGTCCAAAGTTATGCTACAGTTAAGTTAATCAATTGTACTTCTGACCCGGAGTCAATGACATTAACACTGTAATCCTTGAAGAAGAATATATTGGGTTATTGGGAAAGTCATGATGTATTTTAGCACAGAAAAACATAGAAAAATATGTCATGACTTTCCCAGTGACTTAATACCTTGATGTGACACTGAGAATTTTTTTTAAAAATTATTTTATTTACTTAATTTTGTTATTATTTTTTTCATTTTGGCCTGAGAGACAGAATGACAGAGAAAGGGAAAGTGAGAAAGCAAATCACCAGGTCCAGAACTTGAACCACTGTCCAGCACCCCAACCACCACACCACTGCCGGTCCTGACAATGAGAATTTTATACTATCTATATTAGTTGGCAAGACTGCCATAACAAAATACCACAGACTGCATGACTTCCACAATAAAGATGTGTTTCCTCATAGTTCTGAGGCCTAGAAGTCCAAGATCAGGCTGCTAGTAGGTGTGGTTTCTTCAGACCTCACGTGGTAAATGGGTCCTTTCTCACTGTTTCCTCATATGGTCTCTTACCTATGTACACAAAGGACCTTGCTGTCTCTTTTTGCATCCAAATATCCTGGTGCTATAAGGACACCAGTCAGACTAGATTATGAACCTCTGTAATAGCCTCTTTTAAACTTAATCTCCTTAAACACCAAATCTCCAAATATAGTCATATTCTTTTTTTTTTTTTTGAGAGATTTTCACTGTAGGGCGCGTGCGCTCGCCAGACAGACAAGAGAGAGACATAGAGACAGAAAGTAAGAAATCACCCCCCAGGGGGGATGGTCACGCCGCAATCCCTTCTCCTCCATTCTCCTCTTGGGATCTTGGGCACGCACGCACACGCGCCCGGCGTGAGTTTTAAGCCACCGGGTCCAGGACACGAATTGCGGTCGACTACGTGGGAGTCCAGCGACATAGCCATTACGCTAACTGCTGGTTCCCAATATAGTCATATTCTGAGGTACTGGAGGTTCACATATAAAATTTCAGTGACCCTACTCACCACCCAACACTGCCAGTTCAACACATCAAACGAAAAGAATGATGTTAATGCATACATTTTAATATCTGACCTGATAAGAGTAAGTGCTTAAGTATTTATTAACTGTATGGTTTTCAAAACAAGTCAAAAGTAATAATTAATATCACCGAGAATGGAAAATCCAAGTCATTAAGTACTTGTTAAAACAATGCATGTGCTGGATATAACATCAGACTCCCTAAATTCGCTTCATCCATCTGTTCTCCATTCTACTTTGGAAAAGGGACACTTTAAAAAAAAATTACTTAATTTTACTTATTCGTTTCTTTTGATTTGACCAGAGAAATAGAGCAAGAGAGAGAGAGAGGGAAAGTGAGAAAGCAAGCTGCCAGGTCTGGAACTTGAACCACAGTCGGTCATGTGGGAGTCCAGCGCTTTAATTACCATGCCATCTGCTGGCCCAAAAGGGATATCATCAAACAATCTTTATTTTTAGTTACCCCAAGATTTCTACCTTTTATTCAGGATAGTCAGGAGTTGAGGATAATTATTCTGATAAAAAGGCAAAATCATTGATCCAGAATATGAAGAGCCATCATCATGGTTCTTACAAAAAGAAGGCTGTAAACAAATGACATGTCAGAGATGATGATGAATCAGCCAGGTATATCAGAAAGGTTTCCTGGAGGAAGTGAACCTTTATACAAACTGCATCTTGAGAATTAGTTGAACCTGGTCAAGTAATGCAAGCAGGCAAATGAATCACAATGAGGAAAGACACAGTGCTATAAACCAGCAGGGAATGTTGGGGAACTAACAGTTCAGTAATGACAGAGTTAAAACATGTGAAGTGAATGCAGTATGAGAAATAAGAGTTAGGAAGAGGCTGGATTATTTCTGTTGTGTAGTGCAGAATATTACATGATAGAGGCTAAGCAGTTTGACCAACCTAGTGAATGGAAGACCCAGAAATTACAACAAATTTAACTTCAGAACACTTCACTTAGCAGAATGACCAAATGCCCCAGTTTTCCTGGATAACCTCTTGTTTACAACTATTGCTTCTGCTTCATTATAAATAAGTACGGCTTTCTTTTACCCTTATAAAATGCTCAGATCTGGGAAATATCTTCACTCTATCTCTTGAAGCCACTATGCTATATTTTTCTACACCCAAGACAATTAAAGAGTTTCATTAACTTCTCTCACTTATAAGTAAAATTAATTGCTTAAAGAGATTATGCTGATAAAAATAAGTATTTAGAAGGGTTTGAGTTAAACTGTCCTCTATGAAAATACTGTCATCTCCTTTTTTCTTTTTAAGACAGGGTTCCATTATCCTCCTGCCTCAGTCTTCCTAGTAAAACTAGGACTACAGAGGACCACCACCATGCCCAGCTTTCAGGGTGGGCCAGGAATCAAACCCAAGCATGTGTCCTCAGACGGCCAAGCAGCAGCAACTACCTGTTAATGCTACCAAGCTGAGATATTGTCATTACTTAAAAAAGATAATTTCAGATAGCAGTAAGAACAACAAAGAAAACTCATCATTTTTCTAATTTTAATTTTGTTCAAAGAAGCTATGGACTTTAGTTATATCTCTGCCTTAAATTCAAAGTGTCCAGAGACTGGTAAGACTTTCATCAACCTTGACCAAAACTGTGTTTGCACAAGTCCTGTGAAGCATATGGTTCATAGCCTGCCCTCCAAAACATGAAAGTTACAGTTACTCACTGACATACTGCAACAAACTACTTACTTTTCTTCTTATTTAGTTACTGGCATGTAAAAAGCTGAATATGCCAGGTATTTCCTTTTCCCAGCTGGGGCAATTATTGATATTAATAAAAAGGTTAAAGGCCAAAGAGTGGGAAGAAAATCTGACACTGAGAGACTCAATATTTGTATTCTCAAAAACTACTTATTTATTCTGGGACCAGCAGTTGGTGTAATGGCTATGTTGCTGGACTCCCACGTAGTCAACCGTGGTTCGAGTCCCGGACCTGGTGGCTTAAACTCATGCCCAGCGCGTGTGCATGTGTGCTCACGATCCCGAGAGGAGAATGGAGGAGAAGGGGTTGTGGTGTGGCCAGCCCCCCTGGGGGATGATTTATCGCTTTCTGTCTCTCTCTGTCTTTTTGGCGAGCACATGCGCCCTTATCACAAAAACCTGTCCCCTCCCCCCAAAAAAACCCCACACTTATTCTCTTTCCTAGGAAGAACAATTTTTCATGAATTAAGGTAACATAAGAGTTCACTCATTTACTTTTAGCAATGATCTCTATAAAATCTTAGATCTCTAAAATAGTATTAGATAAAACTAAAATACTGGCTTACTCTGCAATATCAAGATATCCACAGGAAGCAGCTGCATGTAGTGGTATCCAGCCTTCATTATCAGGTTGATTAATATTTGCTCCATTTTCTACTAGAAACTTCACCATATCAACATTGTCATCAATGCAAGCCTAAAAACAAAATAGAAAGCATGATTGGAAAAAATTTGAATCAACGGTCCAAATAATACCAACAGAATAAAATTCCTACTATGGAGTTTTTATAATGCAAGAGTTCTCTGTAAATTAACCTGTTTCTAGGTTTCTGTATTGCCACTGAATGGGCTCATGATACTGAATTGTAAGAATTCTTCCTTAAAGACACATAGAATTGTCTGTATGTGACTAGACTCTTTCTGGCAACCCAGTTAAGAATATGAGTATATATTAAAATGAAAACAATCAAAACATTATAATTAAGTACTGATAACATCTTTTAGAGCCAAAATGTGATCTGTTGCAGGAAAAGGGGTAGTGCAAAATCATTTCAAGGAGTTGACAAGGTCAAAACTATTTTCAAAATAATACTAAGATGCTATCTTCCTCTTTTCCTTGGTTGACATGCACACTGAAGGATGTCAAAGTACTAGTGGTGAAGCTGCATGTGATATATACATATCCATGAACACAAGCCTGACTTCAGGCATAAACCTCAGGGAGTAGATGAACATACTATAAAGTAGCACTTAGTTGGGGCTATATAGCTTACTACAATCATCAAATAGGTATTTTTAAATGCATTTTTTTTAATTTCAAGAAAGTTTCCTGTTTTGTTTTTTGAAATATTTTTAAAAATTAATTAATTTACATTCATTCCCTAAGCATCACTACAGCACACAAAATGTGATTTCCCATCCAGAATAGAAGCTGCATGTGTATTAGCATAAATTAAGGCACTAGCCAAAAAAAAAAAATCTCTATTAACAGTCACTGTATTGACCATTATGTGTTCAAAGTTTTTTTTTAAAGCTATTTTTACTTATAAATGTCCTTGACAAAGTAGCAAGTTATAAATTTTGTTAAACTGACCGTTGTCTACAGTATTTAATATCTGATGAAACACAACGCAAGGTATGAATTAAAGTATTTCTTCCGGGACCAGCAGTTAGCATAACAGCTATGTCGCTGGACTCCCACGTAGTCGACGCGGTTTGCGTCCCGGACCCGGTGGCTTAAAACTCACACCGGGTGCGTGTGCGTGTGCGTGTGTGCCCAAGATCCTGAGAGGAGAACGGAGAAGAAGGGATTGCAGTGTGACCATCCCCCCTGGGGGGTGATTTCTCGCTTTCTATCTCGCTGTCTGGCGAGCGCATGCGCCCTATAGCAAAAACCTCTCCAAAAAATAAAAAAAGTATTTCTTCCAAGTATGAAGGTTGTCTTGAGGAAAAGCACTTGTGTGATTGAACTATAAGTTGAGTTTGCCACTTTTTCTATTGAATATTTATTTAAACAGCAAACTTTATTTAGTCTAACTTTGATTTTAAGCAGATAATTTCTTTTTTTAAGAATTATTTTATTGAACTTCATTTATGTATGTATTTATTTATTTTAATTTGATCAGAGAGAGACAGGGAGAGAGAGAGAGAGAGAGAGAGAAAGTGAGAAAGTAAGTTGCCAGGTCCCAGACTTGAACATCGGTCAACCATGTGGGAGTCCAGCACCCTTAACCACCACGCCACCTGCCAGCCCTGCAGATATTTTCTTAAAATAACTATCAATGTACCTTTCACTGATGGCAAATTCAAACTTTAACAGAAATGAAGTGGTTGTTTTCATTTTAAAATGCTATTTATGTAACATGGATAAGTTATTCTTATTTATTTATTTTTTTGAGAGGTTTTTGCTACAGGGCGGGTGCGCTTGCCAGACAGAGAGAGACAGAGAGACAGGAAGCGAGAACTCATCCCCCAGGAGTATGGTCACGCCGCAATCGCTTCTCCTCTATTCTCCTCTCGGGATCTTGGGCACGCACGCACACGTGCCCAGCGTGAGTTTTAAGCCACCGGGTCCGGGATGCGAACCCGGGTTGACTACGTGGGAGTCCAGCGACATAGCCGTTATGCTAACTGCTGGTTCCCAAGTTATTCTTATTTTTTAAAAATTAATAAATATTTTGATTCCTCAGCTTTGATCTCTAATACTGTAAATACTCATACAACCTACAGAAACAAAAGTTCATTGGGATCTTTAATAATGCTTAAGAGCATATACAAAGTCTTGAGATAAAAAGTTTTTTTTTTTTTTATTTTTGGAGAGGTTTTCGCTATAGGGCGTGTGGCCTCCCCCGAGAGACAGAGAGACAGAAAGTCGTGTGTGCTCGCCAGAGAGACAGAGAGACAGAAAGTGAGAAATCACCTCCCGGGGGGATGGCCACGCTGTAATCCCTTCTCCATTCTCCTCTTGGGATCTTGGGCACGCACGCAAACACACGCGGCGTGTGTTTTAAGCCACCTGGTCCGGGACTCGAAACGCGGTCGACTACATGGGAGTCCAGTGACATAGCCATTACGCTAACTGCTGGCCCCCAGAAATGAAAAGTTTTGAGAACATTGGGGCCAGCAGGTGACATGGTTGTTAAGGCACTGGATACTCCCACATGGCCAACCATGGTTTGAGTCCCAGACCTGCTGGCTTGCCTTCTCATTTTTCTTCTCTCTCTGTATCTGTCTTTCTCTGGTCAAATTTAAATAAATGTATGAATAAAATTAAATAAATAATTCTTTAAAAGTAATGTTTTGAGAACCACAGTCTTACAGTAAATAAGAAGAGAAACTTTCATCAACACTTGCCTTATGCCAGCTAGGAAAGGATTTTATTCACTTACATGTATATCATCCTCCCAAAACTCTCCATAAGATACTCACTGTTCTCCACAGTTGTTCCTAAGACCACTGTGCTCCTTATAACTACAGAGCGCACCTTTCTATCCTTCACCATGCACCAAGCCTTTATTCTTGACACGGTCACTGTCAAATGCTCTGTCTCTCGATTTAAGCATGCTGACTCCTTTTCATCTTATGAGTCTCAATGAGAATGTTTTTTCAGAAAGGCTCTTCTAGATATTTACTCTATCACATTATCAATGATACCTAAATCCACAATTATTGTATTTATTTTAAGTTACTACCTCTGCTAGAATGTAAGTTCCACAGTCTGTACTGTTCATCATAAAAGATATAAAACCTACAACAGGGCCTGGCATATAGAATGTCACATATAAATATGTATTTTTCTATGTATTTCTGACTAGTCTCCTTTACGTATACTCTTTATCCAGTCAGCCTGACTTCCTCATTGTTCTCTAACTATATATCACGCTTTTTAACTTCGATGCCTTTACTCATTTTCACTCAAGAAATGTCTGCTCCACAAGACAAACCATACACGAGTTCCTCCGATCCTTTAAGGCTTAGCACAAACGTCATCTTGTCCAAGAAGCTGTCTAGCCAGCTCTAAATAAGCTCTCCAACACCAATGTTTCAACCTCTCGTGACAGCCAATATTGTCCTCTTATGGCTATTTATATACAACCTTATATATTACCCTTATTTATATATAAAATTTTAACTTTAATAAAAATTTCTCAACAAAGAATGATTTAATTAAAAAAGACAAACTACACTTGTATGTGATTAATAAAATAGAAACACTTCATATATGTCCTATAAGATAGATGATATTCATAGACATATTCTATCTGGATTAGTTTTCTGGAACTAGCACTATTTATGATCATTATAATACATTCTCTGTAGAGATGTAATCTCCATGTATTAGGTGGTCCACTGCCTAAGACTGTGAAGTCTGTACCATGCAGAAAGGTATTTGATTGGGGCATGAGAGGCGAGAGGAGGTGGTTGGGAGATGGGGTTCAATCCACTCAAAGTGAACAGGGTTTTGTCCCTCTTGATTCACAAGGAGTTACTATTTGCTCAGAGGAGCCAGTGAATTTCCTCTAATTTGGATAAAATGGGGTAAATAAACTAGTCAGTTCCTGTTTCTTATTTATAATAAGCAAATAAGTGATTTACAACTACTATCCTCTGCAGTCTTTAAAAAAGTGGTTCTAGGGAACCAGCAGTTAGCGTAATGGCTATGTCACTGGACTCCCACGTAGTCGACCGTGGTTCGTGTCCCGGACCCGGTGGCTTAAAACTCACGCCGGGCGCGTGTGCGTGCGTGCCCAAGATCCCGAGAGGAGAATGGAGGAGAAGGGATTGCGGCATGACCATCTCCCCTGGGGGGTGATTTCTCGCTTTCTGTCTCTATGTCTCTCTCTGTCTGTCTGGCGAGCGCACGCGCCCTACAGTGAAAACCTTTCAAAAAAAAAAAGTGGTTCTAATACAACTGGTTAGCAGACATACTATTTTATACTCTCCTTTGGTTTACTGTCAAGATATATGATAGAAAATTAACACGCTACCCCTTTAAATGTATAAAATAGTTGTTTATTAAGAACCTGGGGGAACCAGCAGTTAGCGTAATGGCTATGTCACTGGACTCCCACGTAGTCGACCGTGGTTCGTGTCCCGGACCCGGTGGCTTAAAACTCAGCCAGGCGCGTGTGCGTGCGTGCCCAAGATCCCGAGAGGAGAATGGAGGAGAAGGGATTGTGGCGTGACCATCCCCCCTGGGGGGGTGATTTCTCGCTTTCTGTCTCTATGTCTCTGTCTGTCTGGCGAGTGCACGCGCCCTACAGTGAAAATCTCTCAAAAAAAAAAAAAACCTGGAAAAGCACTGTAAGTAGCTACTCAAAGTACTAAAGATGTATGTGTCATTTAAGAAAGTAGTTCTAATACATTTTGCTACACACAGAGCATTCCTTCCATCTAACCATCCCCTTTAACAACTAGCCAGTACTTAAACAGCAAAGTAAATCCTTGTTTGCTTATATTCAGGAAAAGAAACTACTTTTTGGCAATGAAAACTCTTTAATAAATAGGATATTAAAGGAAAAAAAACATAACTAATAGAGAAAACACAAGAAAGCTTAAGTGTCATTCGAACCTAAGAAAGAGCAGTTTAGGGCTGGCTGTTCAGATATAACAAATCAGCACTACATACGAGCAATGCATAAACGAGATTTACCAAAATCCCCATTGTGCAAGTGTCTTTGCTTAAATGTTACCTTT